TCTGAACACGCACTTGGCTCCCTCTTTCAGGAGTGCAGAAAGGGACGCCTCTCCTCCAGGGCCAAAGCTCCAGCTCCCAGCTCCTCTCAGCCCCCTGTCCTTCCCCAGTGCTGGAAACAGGAGGGCAACACGGAGGCAGTTTTAGCACCACCTTGATGTATGGACTGTGGGACTCCATTCGGCAGCTGCGCGTTCAGAATTCCATGTCACTACCTTCCAGCTGTATGTCGTCTGTCAAGCCTTTCACAGCCCTGAGCCTCAGCGTCCCCTTCTGTAAAATGGGGACAACTTTCAGGTGTGGTTAAGAGCACAGCATGTCAGCTCATTATCCACGCAGCAGAAAAAGCCCAAGGACCTGCTACCCCGGGCCCCCGCCTCTGTCACACTCCATCATGTCTCTTTCCCGCTCTCTCCTGGACACTGAGGCAGCAGCCACGAGGCCCTGGTTCACCTTTTCCCCCCGACAGGTTCTTCCCTTATGGAAACCATGTTGGGTAGCAAATGGACAGCAAATGACAGAACAATCATGTCATTATATTAAATGAGAAAGTGATGACACTTTCCCAATCCATTCAAAATCCCAGTGAATTCCCAAATAGCACCAGGTGCCCTAAATCTCTATGCAGTACCACAGTACTTCTGTATTAAAAGGCTACTTAGCTAGTTATTTAACAGTAATGAACTCGTTAGGAGGTGTGCTGTGTGCCAAATACAGTTCTGTAGAGTATGTCAGACTTGAGTATCAGCAAACATACAAAGTTGTCAGTGTTTGTTCCACGTGATGCCTCTTCAGTGCCAAAGGGGACACCGGGGACAGCACTTAGTGGTGGGCTGTCCATCTTGTTCCCACACAATGCTCCACAGTAAGCTGGGGGCTGCTGGCCTCCTGTCCACAGTTTTGACCACGCTGCTTTTGTGGACCTTCAAGAGGTGTCAATGGAAGATTCATCAACAACAACCAGGATTGTGTTCCTTAAAAAAAAAAAAAAAAGGCTTTTTGGCCAGTCACGGTGGTGCACACCTATGATCCCAGCAGCTTGAGAGGCTGAGGCAGCCCCAGCAAAAGCGAGATGCTAAGCAACTCAGTGAGACCTTATCTCTAAATAAAATACAAAATAGGGCTGGGGACGTGGCTCAGTGGTAGAGTGCCCTGAGTTCAATCCTCAGTACCAAAAAAGAAAATAAAAGAAGCTTTTTGATGATTTATTGAATGAAACATCAAAAGGGGAACATTTGTCCAAACATGTACTTGCACACGTGACAACCAAGGCATAACTGTCACCTGGCCCACTGTTTGCAAGAAGATGCCATCTACTTTAGTGAAATGCTTTGCGATTACAGAGATGCTAAAATGCAAAAAGGCAGATGTGACCTTTAAATGATGAAATGATGGTGTGCACAGCCAATAGCAGACTCAGGAAAACATCAGCAACAGCCTGAAGATCAGCCAGAGAAGATACGGCACGTGGGAAACACGGCGTACCCAGCAATTTAGAGCCCAAAGTAATTTAAGCAAACCGTGAAAAGTAGTAAGATAATCTGGCTAAAAACATAGTCATAAGCTAAGTGGAGTTGCCTATGTCTATAGTCGAAGATGTTCAGGACCCTGAGGCAGGAGGATGGCTGGAGCCCAGGAGTTCAAGGTCAGCCTGGCCAACATAGTAACATTCAGTTTCCAAAACACAAACAAAAATTGTTGTCATAGTAGCATAATTTAAGACCCCTTTCTCAGCAATTGAAAGACTGAATAGACAAGATAACAGAAATTCAAATATAAAAAGAAAATAACAAAATTCATTTATAAATATATATTATATATATAATATTTAATAGTAGGCATGATATATCTGTTAATATTAAAGTACTTATATAATATACAAATATGTAATCCTGTATAACATAATTTTATACCATGTTTATATTACACATAAGTAAAAATCTATGTATGTGTGTAAATGTATATACTTCATACCTAAAAAGCATGGAACTCATTTTTTAGGCTTCCATAGAGCATCTATAAACTTATACATGAAGTCACAAAGGAAATAACAAGCAGCCCCAAATCAATATCATACAGGCCATTCTATCTGACCATAGGCAATAAGAGACTAATAGCATTAAAGCATGACCCTTACCCACTTGGACATTTAGAAATAATGCATGTGAACTTCACATAATGGCTGCAAACAGACCACAGTGGAGATGAACCACAGTAAAAGCACATGTCGTAATAGTAAGAGGAGCACAGACAGCCCTTCAGGTCCTGGTCTTGGTTAGGGAACATGCACGCCCAGAGGAGGGGCTTCCTACCACACAGAGCTGCCCCTCCTAACCTCTGAGAGCTCTAGGCTGTTTCCTGCAGTGACTGCACCCCGGCTTCCCTGCCCAACCTGCACAGGCTGCACCCCACCACATCCCACCAAGGCTCTGCGTTTCCCTGGTTATCAGTAAATGTTGGGAAGCTTTTCAAAGGCCGCTGGGCGCTTCTGTGTCTTCCTGGGAGAAGTGTCTGTTCAAGGCCTTTGCCCATTTCTAAATCGAGTTAACACTGGCCTTAGTTATTGAGTTGTGTGGCTTCCTGTGGGTTTGAGGTCTGAGCCTCTTACCAGACCCAGGGTTTCCAAGTATTTCTCCTGCTCCGTACATTTCCTTGGCTCTCTGACCCTCCTTTGCTATACAGAAGCTTTTCCCTTCAACCTGAGTCTCACTTGGCCATATTTGCGTTGGTTTCCTGCCTTGGGGTCAAGTCCAAGAAACCTTGTCATGCAGATTTCCCCTATGTTTTCGCCTAGGAGTTTCCTGTTTTGGGTCTCCTGCCAACATCTAAAGATGTGCATTCTTCTCTCTCAAGTTCATTGTGGCCTGATGCACAAAGCCATATTATGAAACAACCTAAGTGCCCACTGGGGGTGGGTAAAGAAAACGTGGCATACACATGCCATGGGATTTTATGAAACCTTAACAAAGAGGAAATCCTAGCCTTGGGGACAGCCTGGATGAGCCTGGAGGACATTGTGCTAAGTGAAATGGGCCAGTCACAGATGGCCAAATAAGGACTGTGTGATCCCCTTCAAGACGAGGAGCCTAAGTCAGGAAAATTGGTGGAAACAGAGAGGAGATGGTGGTACCCAGGGGAAGGAAAACAAGGAGCTGCTTTTCCACAGTATCAGGCTTTAGTGCAGCAGATGATGAAGTTCTGGAGACTGTCTGAACTACAGTGAGCTTCAGGTAACGATGCTCTGACACCTAATCATAGGCAGGTGACCATGTGTCAAGGGCTCTTGCCAATGTAAAAATTACAGCATGTATCCCAGGGGGCACTAGGAGGAAAGGTCATAAGCCCTAAGAAAACAAAAAAGAAGGAAAGTAAGTAACAGAAATTCCTAAAGCAGTCGAGTTCCTTTTAGAAAAATTCCAGGTGACGTCCAAGGTGGCCCGGCTCCTGCACAGCTCTGTCTTTAGGAGACCATCTGCCTCAGGTGGTCCACGAGCATCTCAGTATGTGCCCATCAACCCAGCTAATTATTAATTATTAACCCAGCTAATCAATACCCCTAAGTGTCCTGGTCACCCCACAGCTCCAGGGAAATCAACACAGGGAGAACTAGTCCCTCTTCTTGAAGGAATCCCAAGAAAATAAAAACTCAAAGAGCTCTGTGCCAAGAAAAATATAATCTCCAACAGCAACACGGCTGTTCAAATGCCAAAAAGAGATGATGTTAGGGTGGGGAGAAGAGGTCAGGATGATGCCTGCCAGGCCCGGGGGTCATCAATATCCCCACATCCATGTCCAATGCTTGGGGAAAAGTGAAAACATGAAAGAAAGTAAAAAAAATTAAAAAATTACAATGGGACTATTCAGATGATTTGAAGAATTGTCCTATTACAAAGGATAAAATTTCAAGTGATATTCTATAAGAAGAAACCCTGTGTTTAAAAAGACACAGGAAAGGTCAGGCCTTCATCCTAATAAGCACCTCACAAGGAGGGACAGCCCTATTTGTTTGTGGCTTGTAAGTTCACAGGAAAAGCCCACCGGAGGCTCCCAGACACCCTTGCCAGGGCAGAGAGGGCAGTTTCCGGTGGCTGTGTACCCCACCGTGCACAGAGATACAGAGTATGATTCTATGGGTGGAGCCTGGCTGTCCCAGCCACCCAGTGTGGGGCCTGGGGGAAGCTGGCTTATGAACTTATCACCCTCTCCACCCATCTCGCTGGTCCCTGACTGCCACGAGAGACTTCGTGTGAGCCTACCATAGAGGCTAAAGCGCCTCGAGAGGAATCAATGTCACAACCAGCTACTCCATTAACGTCACCCACTCGCAACACAGCACCCGAGTGAAAACACTTTATTCCACAAGTTTAACTCCTGGTGAGGTGGAGCGATGAGACTTCAGGTGAGGACTTTACAGACATCAAACCAGAATACAGACTTCACTGAGGGGAAGCCAAGCCCACGAGGGCTCGGCTTCCTTCTGCTCTCTCTCCTCTTTGTGGAAACTTCCATAGTTGCTTCTTCCTGTCAGGATCCAAAAGGTCTTGAAACAATGCCACAGAGCGACGTATCAGACAATCCAGAGACCTGGAATTTAAGGCAAAAGAGTTCCATCCTCATTTCGTGGTTGGAGCATCACTAGCAAGTACGTTAAGAAGAACTTTATTCATTCTCTTGGTAACGGTGCCGTGTGTCAGCTGTATGGCTGTGGCAAAGGCCTCGATTTCCCCTGGTTATTTTCCAAGCAACCTAGGTCATTGCATGGATGTATTGGGGGGCGCAGCCAGAAGTCCTTGGATGGAAAACCCAACCTTTGATTCTCTCTTCCTACCCCAGGCTGAGGTTGTGCTGTCTCTCTTCCCTTCAACCTGATTTCCATCCTTGAAAACTGGGCCCAATAGTGGCAACTCTACCTCTCCTTCTTGAAGGGGTTGGTGTGACAATGTTCGTGTCAGAAGCACTTTAGAGCTAGACTGGGGAAATCAACCCAAGCCCCAGGCTGACCTCAATTCTGTCTAATCAACTCAAAGTCGGTGATGTAGGTTTTTCCCAGTTCCTGGGTCATAAAGAGTGGACAGTCTCCTTTGGAGCAGACGGCAATGAACCAGCCAGGGAAGGCCACAGACTCGAAGGTCGAGGTCCTGCCGGTCTCACTGTGATAGAAGAGAAAGGGCTTCACAGGCTCACTGAAGGCATGCAGATCTATTATGCTTCTTTCCTGAAGAGTAAGAAGAGGGCCCCGGGGGAAATGTCACCTCTGGAACTGTCCCATGTTCCTTGAAGATAGGTATTTCTATAATTGCATTGCCCATCTACGTTTGCATCCCCAGTCTCTAACGCAGGCCTGGAGAGCTTGGTTTCATACCAGGGAATGAGGATCATGCAGACCCCAGGGGCTCTTCCCAAAAGCCAGGGGACAAAATCATCCCTAACTTTACAACCACTGTTTCAGATCTTATCATTGAATTGAGTGTCTGGTACTTTTTTTAAATAATGGGAAAATCACAATTATTGAAATATTTGTTTTAGAGACTTATCTTTGTTTACTTAAAATGGCAAACAATTTCAAAAAAAAATTTTTAATCAAGTCATGCCCTTTGTGATAGGTTGGCTAAAAATGTCCTTGGTGGTTTTACCCAGTGAAAGAGAGAGAGAGAGAGAGAGAGAGAGAGAATGTGTGTGTGTGTGTGTGTGTGTGTGTGTGTGTGTTGGAGTCAGGAACCACTTTAAGAGCCTTTCTCCTTGTCAAAATCCTTTTCCAAAAATTCTTTTTAGTCACATACAACACCAGGATACACCCTGACATCATCACAAAAGCATGGAATGCAACCAGCTCCCGTCCAGGCTCAGCCCTCCCCCTGCTAAATCACTTTTGTAGAATAAAATGAGTGATTTTAGCGAATGGATTCAAAACACCACTACCATTTATTTCTTATCCTTTCACAATACACACAATACCTTTGGCAACCCCAAAAGAACCAAAAACAAACATGCATAAGAATAACAAACTGTCTTCTGAAAGATTCTAAAATCACAGGTTCCTTCAAATGAGCACCTTGAAAGACAGGTGGGCATCTTCTCCCAGTTGGGCAACGGTAGACCCTAACTTGCTGGCCTTACCTCAAGCTGCAACACTGGTTGCTCCCCATCCTTTTTACAAAACAGGCAGCAATTGGGCTCCAACAGTCCTAGGTACATGGGTTTCCCTCTGTCCTTCTCAAGGGTCTCCAGGTGTCTGCATGGCATCAAGGTGACAGTGACTGGGAACAATGCAAAAAGTGTGAATCCGTTGCCCCTTCCACAGATGCCTCTCTGCAGAGATTGAAGGCAGCAGAGGCTGCAATCGCCTGACCAGCTCTTACAGAGTGGCCACCCTGTCCCTCGCCACCCCCTTGTCCCTGAGGAATTCCTTCTCTTATAAATTCAAAATCGAACCTTCTGGTAGATCCCACTCTTTGGTCTAACTCTTTGCAGTTTCACAGAGAAGGTCTTCCACCCTCTCCCTTCAGCCTGCCTGGACTCGTTCCTGTAGTCCCAGACAACCCCAGGACCACCCTCTGTCCATCATTGCCCACAGGGGGCCTTCTCTCTGGACACCCAGAAACCTTACCAACTGTGAAATGCAAGGCTGTCCACGGCAGCACTGGCCAAAGGGGCTGCCTGCACCAGGCCTTGGCTACTCACTTGGAACCATCCGTTCCTTCCTTGGGACTATCATGAGGGTCTGGTCTTGAAGAACCCACGCGCGGTGGTTGAGATCCTGAACATACCTCCTGGACGGTACTTCCGAGGCTAAAGCTGTAGAGAAAGTCAAAATGCAAGTGTGTGCAGGAGAGTGCAGGGTGTCCCCCTTTCCAAGGCCTTGCCCTTCGGTGAAGATCTTTACCTTTGGCCATTATGGTGGTGTTGCTTCAGAACTGCTGAGCTCCAGAACTGTTTCTGTGCTGAGTCAGTCCCAAGCTACAGTGTGACCCAGGGTTGGAGGGCTGCCCAACAGAGACCCCAGTCAGAATCTGTGCTCTCAGAAAGCACCAGTCTTCCTTAGCTTCTTGGATTCAGCAGAAGCAGTCACACCTACAACTCCTGCTCCACCTGGGCCTAGACTCCTAACAGGACAGAAGCAAGAGGAAAGCAGAGGTCAGCAGACTTCCCAGGGGCTGCTATCACTGTACCCTGCTTATGCAGGACCCTGTGTCCCTGCCTTTGTGAGTTGTGGCTTCTATTGCACTCAGGTGCTTCACCAGGGTCAGGCCTTTTATCCACCCAGGGAAGGAAGAAGGTTCTGCCTCATTAGAGCCGGAACTACATGGCAGGTTAGGTAATCACTAGTTCCTGGTGTCCTGGGATTTGCTTAGTATTTATATTAATAAATATCAATTGTAGCATAGTCATGACTTATCCAAGCATTCTACAAAAGGAGGAGACTTTAAGACCAACAACCAGGAAATAGTGTCATAGAAAATGGCTTTGAGGAAAAGAACATGATGGGACTGTCCCAGGGCAGATCACTATCCTCTTGTGATGTCAAATGACATGCAGCCACGTTATTCCTGACAGCAGGATCCACCAGCAGGTGCAAGGTTGCAAGGTTGCATAGGTCTCCCAAGACCTCTACAGCTGCTAGCCAGCCGTAGACCACGGTCACTTCAACTTCTGGCGATCTCAGACCAGGCAAATGCCGACCTCAGTGGGCCCTCTTCCAGCTTCTCAAAGCTACCATGCATGCCACTTCTCCATCAAAGGAGCCTCACCCACAGCAAGGCCAGCTCCTGGGGCTTGTCCCCCTCAGTGGACTCCTGGTCACTATGTTGTTACAGGGGAAGGGAGCCAGGCTGCCAGGTGCCCCAGTGCTCTGAGCCTGCAGTGCCTGACATCAGGTCTTCCCCAACGAGAAGCTGAGACGATGCTGTTGATGTCTCCCAACCTTTCTGGTGGGTCCCAGCACCAGTCTACTTCCCGCCTCAAGGGCTTCCATTACATGGACAACTTCTGACAATAGGTGAAGGGACTGGTGGATAAATATCCCAGCCTCTCTGTCCTCTGGTGGGACAATATGAGAGCTCCTCAGACAGCCCATGGGGATCCCAGGACCAGTTACCCATGATGGTAACTATTAGCATTCCCTTTATTGACATTCCCGAGATCATCTCCCAAATGAGATCCCCACACCCAGGGTCTGCCTTGGGAGCAATCCAAACTAACATAGTATTCAGGGTGCAAAAGTAAGAGGCTTGTATTAGAAAGACATGTTCAGAATTAGGATTTGCAGCCTTCACAATTGTGCACATCCTCGAGACTCAAAGTGTGATCTGTGGGTGAGGCATTGGCATCATCTGGAAGCATGTCAGAAATGCAAAATCTCAGGCCCCAACCCAGACCTAAGAAATCAGGATCTGAAACAAAGGAGCATCAAAACTGCTGTATGTTCTGCACACACTCATGCTCAGTAATGTAGTCACACCAGCACAAGAAAGAGGTCAAGGCTCAGGGTGTGCCTGAACTGGGACAGTGACAGCTCGCAAGATCTGGACCCACCTTTGCCTTTCTCCAGGGTTCTGGGAACTGTGGAGTGGGCTGTCCCAGCACAGAACAAAGGGGAAAGATTCAAAGAAGCTATCACTGGAAAGCTGTGGCCGTAGACACACCCTCACAGGGATTTTCACCTCAGGACTCACAAGTTCATTGAGTCAGGAGCTCAAATTTTATTTGGTTTAATGTAATCCAAACTTATTTCATCAAAAGCCAAAAGAAAGCCTCTTTAGAGGAAGGCAGAAACACTCAGATTTTAAAGGGCACAAGTCACAAGTAGTTGAAGATTACCAGGCATACAAGCAAACAAGATCATAAGAAAGAGAACCAAAGAGGGAGAAAGGAAAAGAAACAAACAAAAGGAAACAACAGATGCATACCCACACAATCTTCAGAGTTTGTAATGATTATGCATTGAGCTTAAAACTACTACCCTAACCACGTTTAAGAAACAAATGGCAAACATACAGGTTTTTTTCTGAATAGAAAACCTTGCAAAGTGACAGACTGAAAAAGCCAAGAAGCACTTCTATAAATACAAAAAGTCAATAAAGTAAATAACTGTATTCAGCAGCACACAGAAGAGAGTTAGTAAATTGGAAAGTAAATGAGAAGAAACACATATTGCATCCCAGACAGAGGAATGCAGGAAAATGTAAAAGAATGTGGAGAGAATTTGGAGAACTAAGTGAGAAGGTTTGGAACATTGATTCGATTCACAGGAGAAAAGACAAATGGGACAGAATCACTATTTGAAAAGAGAATGGCTGACACATCCTAAAACCCAAGCTACAAGATGCCAAGCTACAAGTTCAAGAAAAACTAAAAAAAAAAAAAAAACCCAAGTATAATAATAAAAAGAAATGGGCATATAAACCCATCAGAATAAAATTTCTATAGGACCAAAGACAAAACTTAAATAGTAGAAGTGGCAAAAAATAAAAAGATCTTTCCTTCAAGGAAGCAGAAGACTGGCAGCTGACTTCTCTACTATAATAGTGGAAACCAGGAGACGACAGATAATACCTTATAATGCTGCATTCCATACTCTACTCTGCAAAATTTCTTTCCAGATTAAAGGTAAGTCAAGTTGTTCTCAGAAACTCAAAATTCATCATGAGCAGAGGATGACTTAAGGAAATAACTATGGATATGTTTCCAGCAAAGAATTCTCTATAGCAGAAAAGTGTACATTTTTTGAGAAATAGTTCTTGATCGATTTCTGGGCCCTGGTGGTGACAGAACACTTGCATAATGAGGCACCAAGAAACTATTGGAGTCATCCATTATGATGAGTCCTTTCAAACCATCAAATCACAAAGTAAGAATGAAGCCTCCAGAACTGGGCCTTGCAGGGAGGGCATGTATGTGAAGCATGAGCAGTTAGCCCAGATGCCCACCTCACCCACCACGTTGCACCAGTGTCCTTCCCTCAGCTTCAACCTATGGTCACACAGTGCCACATTTCCAGCTGAAAGAGGTGAAAAAGCCAAGGTGGTCTATATGCAGGTCACTTCAGTGTGGGAATATCAGCCAGAAGTTAATAGCATCTGCATCACAGCCACACAGGCCAGTTGGGGTGGCCTTGAAAGATCATAAAACGGAAATGTCTTTAATGGGTAAATCTACAAGTAGTGCCACTGGTCGTTGACTTCCTATGGAAATAAAGTGGCCCAAGGGGGAAATGCATACAGGTTCCCAGACAGTGCCAGCTTGTCAAGAGCCTGAAAGACAAGGTGGCATGGAGCAGAGCACGTGGATGGACATAAGGGAGTGGACACACAGTGTGAATCCATATCATATGCTAACTCTCACAGGAAAGCTCAAGCTGACAAGATGACTGCTGGTTGATATCGGCCAAACATCAGGGCCACCTGGTGGAGCACTGGAAGGCCACTGAAGGCACAGCTGAAGTGGTCTTCAGCTGCCCCGGAACTGGTAGCATGAGCGCCGGTGGTGGGGGTGGGGCTGCTCGTGGGTCTAATAGAATACACTCCCACTGGCCAAGGATGACCATGCAACCTGCTGGCAGCAGAGGCCAACAGTGGCCTCCAATATGGCAGCAGTCCTCCAGGAGGCCCGCTTACCCTGTGGAAGCAGCTGGCTCTATCAAGCCACTTCCTTCTAAGACGGAGAGCAACTTATCCTCACAGAAATGGATTCATATTCTGGGTGTCGGCTGACCTTTCCTGCCTCCTGAGACTCGCCACTGTCTCAATTCATGGACCATGAATTCCATATAACTTCCAACCAGGGGCCTCCCAAACAACACAGCATGTGTCCAAGGAACTCCCCCTCCAGGGAAGGAAGAGCCGTGTGGCTGCTGACTCCAGTCCGTGGAGTGCCACTCAACGTGTAATAACCGGCTTTCCAGAAAACAAACCAAAACAAAAGCCCCGATGTGTGGTGTTTGGCAATTTCCACAGTGTGAATACTTCCAGCATGGGCGATTTCAAGCTATCAACAGACTCAACCAAAATCCTAAAAATGTAGCCACTGGCTGCCTCAGGCCTGCGTGAGCCAGCTCTACTACTTGCCTGGGCCCACTGGTCAGTCCAGAAACATCCAACTTGACAGCCCATTGGATGGGCTCCTGAGGTACGCCCAAGGTCCAGGTAGGTGCCAGTGCCCTGGGAGGCTGGAATGCCATCCTGCAGGATGCCAAATGAGGAGGAAGCAGAGCTGCTTTCACATTGAGGGCACGGTGGATGTGGTGCCACCATTGTGAAAACCATGTCACCTCTTGGTGTCCCACTCCCTTTACGTAACCTGAATGGACACGTGTAGCAACTCTCAGCAGATGGATATGATACCAAATAGCTACGATCCTCAAGAATTAAGGTTTTGACTGCATTACCAGGAAAGTCACTAAAGCCTGCCACCTGACAGCTAAGGATGAGGGGAGGGGATTTAGAAGGGAGAGTTTGGGAGCAAGCCCTGGGCTCAGCTGGAGAAATGGGTGCAGCCACTTGGGAGGCAGGAGGATCACAAGTTCGAGACCAGCTTCAGGAACTTAGTAAGACCCTGTTTCAAAACCAAACGTTTATCAAAGGCTGGGGATGTAGCTCACAGCAGAGCACCCTGGGTTCAATCCCTGGTTCTGGAGAGGAGGTGGGGGGGCTTCCCAGTACTGGAGGGGGGGGCTGCTACTAGGAAAAGAGCAGGAAGACAGCCTCCACTGTACAGTCTTGGCCGCCACAGGCTCCCACCGAGGTTCCTCTCCCGCTTGCTGCTCCCAGCCAGGGGCTGAGGGAGGGCAGCTGGGGGTCCAGGGCCAGGAATTCCTGCCGACGGGAATGCCTCTGCAGCCAGATGTGGCTGGGGGCTCCATTGCCCACTGGGGACGTCCTGGGGGCTGTCACAGCTGCCACAGTCCAGGCTCTTCCTCCCACCCTCCTTCCTTCTTGCTCCTCTGTCACTGGTGCCAGTGCGCCCTCCCTTCCTGCCCTGTCCCCTGGTCATTCCTGGGCACTCCTCTTGGCATCTTCTCTGAAAAGCTCCCAAACTGACAGGACACGTCACCTGAATGAATCCCAGGAGCATGAAGAAGAGGTGAATGAATGCATAGATACTGTGATTTCATTTAAAGTGTTCACACGTGCAGACTGAACAAGACCCATTTTCGGGACACATACTCATGTGATAAGACTATCACAGAAGGTAAGACCACAACTAACTGCAAGGGAATGGCTCAGCCAACTCAGTTTGGCAGTTCCTCGGCGGGGAGTTAGAAGAATGTGTAGGAGGGGAGACAGGCAGACAGGGCTCCCCAAGGTCCTGGGTCTGCTTCTTCGTCTGGGGGATGATTTGTGTTAGCTCCTTTTACCCAGACCCCAGATATACTGTTATAAATATTTCTTCATACCTCCTCAATGTTTTAAACCACAGAAACAACACAGGTCCTAAAGAAACTTAAACTTACTGAATTTTCTTAATAATAATAAAAATTACACAATCACTATTGCATATAGAGTGTTTGCTATAACCTCATTCCTTCATTCAAGTCTTGCAACTTTTTGAAAAGCTGAATGCAATTGTGAATTGTGCTGCTATAAACATTGATGTGGCTGTGTCTCTGTAGTATGCTGTTTTTAAGTCTTTTGGGTATAGACCAAGGAGAGGGATAGCTGGGTCAAATGGTGGTTCCAGTCCCAATTTTCCAAGAAATCTCCATACTGCTTAATAGATTGGCTGCACCAATTTGCAGTCCCACCAGCAATGTATGAGTGTACCTTTTCCCCCACATCCTCGCCAACACTTATTATTGTTTGTCTTTATAATAGTTGACATTCTGGCTGGAGTGAGATGATATCTTAGAGTAGTTTTGATTTGCATTTCTCTAATTGCTAGTGATGATGAACATTTTTTCATATATTTGTTGATTGATTGTATATCATCTTCTGAGAAGTGTCTGTTCAGGTCCTTGGCCCATTTATTGATTTTGTTATTTGTATTTTTGGTGTTTAGCTTTTTGAGTTCTTTATATATCCTAGTGATTAGTGCTCTATCTGATGTGTGAGGGGTAAAGATTTGCTCCCAAGATGTAGGCTCTCTATTCACCTCACAGATTGTTTCTTTTGCTGAGAAGAAACTTTTTAGTCTGAGTCCATTCCATTTATTGATTCTTGATTTTAATTCTTATGCCACAAGAGTCTTATTAAGGAAGTTGGGGCCTAATCCCACACAATGAAGATTAGGGCCTACTTTTTCTTCTATTAAATGCAGAGTCTCTTATTTAATTCCTAGGTCCTTGATCCATTTTGAGTTGAGTTTTGTGCATGGTGAGAGATAGGGGTTTGATTTCATTTTGTTGCATATGGATTTCCAGTTTTCCCAGCACCATTTGTTGAAGATCTATCTTTTCTCCAATGCATGTTTTTGGCACCTTTGTCTAGTATGAGATAATTGTAATTTTGTGGGTTAGTCTCTGTATCCTCTATGCTATACCATTGGCCTACTAACCTGTTTTGGTGCTAATATCATGCTGTTCTTGTTACTATTGCTGTGTAGTATAGTTTGAGGTCTGGTATAGTGATGCTACCTGCTACACTCTTCCTGCTAAAGATTGCTTTAGCTATTCTGGGTCTCTTATTTTTCCAGGTGAATTTCATGACTGCTTTTTCTATTTCTATGAGGAATGTCATTGGGATTTTGATTGAAATTGCATTAAATCTGATAGTGCTTTTGTTAGTACGGTCATTTTGATAATATTAATTCTGCCTATCCAAGAGCAAGGTAGAACTTTCCATCTTCTAAGGTCTTCTCTGATTTCTTTCTTTAGGGTTCTGTAATTTTCATTATACAGATCTTTCACCACTTTCGTTAAGTTGATTCCCAAGTTTTTTTTGTTGTTGTTGTTGTTGTTTTGAGGCTATTGTAGATAGGGTAATTTTCCTCATTTCCCTTTCTGAGGATTTGTCACTGATATGCAGAATTGTGTTTGATTTATGGACGTCGATTTTTGTTTAATATGTTTAGTTGTTGATGCACCTTTATTTTATTTATTTGTATGCGGTGCTGAGAATCAAACCTAGTGCCTCGCACATGCTAGACAAGTGCGCTACCACTGAACTACAACCCCAGCCTCCAGGTGTTGATTTTATATCCTGCTACTTTGCTGAATTCATTTAATAGTTCTAGAAGTTTTCTGGTGGAACTTTTAGGGTCTTCTAGGTATAGAATGACCTTACAGAGTTTATATTATTATTGCAATGACTGGGCCACATGGTAGGCTGGGACTCTACTTCCTCTTCTGCATGATCTAATGTTTCTCTGGAATGAAGAACCATCTAGTCTTTGTTGTTCTTAATTTTCACTTGCTTTTCTACAGAATTTGTCATTCCCCATATCCCCCACCCCCGTTAATTCCTCCTAACACGCGGGCCTGCCACGAGCCTAACCACTTGCCCTGGACCCTCCAACAGCACCACACTGCCTAGCTGCCTGGGGGTGTCCAGGTGCCCCCAGGGTGCAGGCCCCCAGCGTCTCCGTGGAGGGGAACCCCGGCTGCAGGAGTCCATATTTTTTTCTCTTTTGCTTTTCTTAGATTAAACTTCAGTTTGGGCAGAGCTCATTCTCCAGCAGCTTCTCAAGTACAGTGTGTGAAAACAGGTTTACTCCAGTCATACTTAATCGACAGAATTATTTGCTAGAAATTATTTATTTCCCTTCACCAACTGGGAAGCATTGCTCCTATGACTTGGGGCTTTCTTTGCTGCTATAGAGGAAAGCTGAGCCACGTGGCTTCTAGTTGGCTTGGATGTGACCAGGGTCATCTCAGTGGCAGCTTTTAGAATCTTCTGACTCCTCCCTTCACAATGCAACCACATCCGATTTCCATCATCAAAGATGAATGCTGCCCATTCTTGAACTTTTTAGAAGTAAATATGCAGTAGATACCCTTTGCGTCTGGCATCTTCAATATTTTTTACATTCATCTGGTTGAATCTCTATGAGTAGTCAATTTCCTTTTGTTGTTAAGCAACACTGAATACACACTACTGATTTATCCATTCACTGTTCATGGAAGCTTGGGTTCTTTCTAGCTTTGGAATGTTATGAAATTTTACTTGATGGCTTCTTTATTTGAGTCATTTTGTTCAATTCACTTTTCAATCACTCAAGAGGGGAAAAAATCCTTAGAGAAGTAAAGACCAACAAAATGAGCAAGACGTATATGTAAGTATCTCTTTATTTCTGTTGAAGCACACAGATTATCCCAAGCATGATTAATCGAAGAGTTTTTGCCCATGAAATTCCACTGGGATAATCCAGGAAAGTATTTCCCAAGTTTGGTCCATCAGTCAGTATTCCCTAGTGTCCTGGGGAAAATGTTGATTCTGAGGCCCACCTTGAAGTTGATAAATGGCAGTTTCTAGAAGAGGGTTTTTATGAGGTGTGGGGGTCCCTGGGATTTTAGTGCACCACCCAGGGGAGTCAGATGCTATGTTGAGTTTAGAAATACAGTGTGCAATTAGTACATTCCACTGATTACATCATTCCATCAGGGTGTCTGGGAGGCCAGAGATTCCATTTGATGGATCATCTGCTGAAAATTTGCAAATTAAGGGCAACCCCAATGGAGGGAGTGAGGAGGCTCAGACTTGGCTCTGCTGCCCTGCTGGGGTCACTGTTGCTGATTCTCACGATTCACAACCCCCCCCCCCCCAAATTCCAGCACACAGCACTCTAAAGACCCAGCCTCGAGCATGCCATTCCTCCAGTTCTATGAAATGCAGTGCCCCTCAGCAAACCCATGCACTCTGTGTACCTCCCTTCCCTCGCCCAAGAAATGAAAAGGCTGAAGGAGAGGGAGAAATTCATAAACATTATCCAAATCCTGAAAAAGAAGGCCTGACCTCCCAGGCCCCTCCTAGGGCGTCTCAACACCTGTGAGTGCGACCTCACTGGTCTTGCCACTTGGGATTTATTTCTTTGTAGAAAACAGATAAAGAGCTTGCAATTTTTGTAGAGATGCAAATGCCATCCATCGGGTAGGAAAGAGAGTGTCAAAAACTGCTAATTCTTGAAATGGAAGAAAAAAACGGCAGAAAAAGAGGCAAAAGCGAAGCTACCAGGTGCATGCAGGACGGGGCGGAGGACGGGGTGGAGGACGGAGCCTTTAAGCACAGACGTGCATTGTTTGGTAAGAATCTTAAAACCTTTAAAAGAGTCTAAGCAGCAAACGTTCATGTTTATTGACATGAATTAGGGATTGTAACACTGTGTTCAGTGGGGGACAGCATCTTCTGCCCCATGCCCTGTCTTTTCTGAGGCACCAGGCAGCATCTTCAGGTCCAGCTTCATGAAATGACCATTAAAAAATAAAAAATAAAAAGCCACCCTCGTACTTCAGCACGATGTGACAGTTCTAATCACCTGAGCACTGTTCATTCCTCTCGGGGTCCAAAAGCCCCTCTCCTGGTATGTCCAGCCCTCTGTAGCTCCCCATTGCTAAAGGTCCAAAGAATCCCATTTTTCAGTGAAAGTTAGCCTGGCTCTCCCGCTGCTCAATGCAAGAACGTCTGCTGTAGCAAGTGGGCTGAAAATGAGGGTGTCACTCCTCGCAGGGCCTCCCATGGTCTCACACACCGTGACACCATGCACCACTTCTCAGGTGACACGCCGCGGGCTGGTTGGCTTCTGCTAGAGAGGAGCCTTCAGCCCGAGCTGCCTGCTCTGAGTCACAGCCTGCTCTTCAGTGGCCACGAGGTCAGCGCTTCTTCCTCCATAAAATGAGCTGATGACAGCAGCTTGCTCACCTCTGGCGCTGGCACGGAGCAGCCCTGAGGTGACACAAAGTCCTGCTGGGAGCTCAAAAAATGGAAGACAAAGGCCTCTGAGCAAGCGGCCACCTCCACGCTGAGTTCAAGCCTTTAAATTCAAATAGAAGTTAATGTTGTTGGTTGTCCCCAGGTCGGAAGTGAGGAAGATGGGCTGGCCAACCTGGGAGGAGACGATGAGCCAGCCTGGGAAGGCCACGGACTCGAAGGTGGAGGTATTCCCATCCCGGGAGTGGTAAAAAAGGAAGGGTCTCACGGGCCCCACCTGGTTGTACAGATCCAAGATATTCTGCTCCTGAAAGGTGGGGCAGAACAGCCAAGAGGAGAAAAGGAAGTTGCTTGAAATGTTCCAAGTAACCAATAAACATTTCAAAGTTCAAGAGAGCCTTCCCCACCTATGAGCAGGACTGGAAAGGTAAGTTTCCAAGAGCAGCAGAGTCCCCAGGTGGAATCTCACCTTCCCAACCCCACCCTCAAGTCCAGAGCAAAGAAACAAGGGTCAGGTCCGCGAACCGGTGGCCGCCCTTGGATGATGAGTTGGAGCTCTTCTTGCATAAGAGACTGAGGGACAAAGATGCAAATTTGCAAAGTTGGCTAATGACCTCATTTACCAAAGCCCAATGGTGAGAGCAGCACCTAAAAAAGCAACTGTCCCAGCAAAGGACAGCCAGGCTGCGGGAGTGTGTCTCATGTCAATAGCTGAGCACAGGAGAAAGGTCACACACGAAAGATATGGGTTCGAATAAATCAGAGAACTTGCACCCGAAGGAGACACAGCCATCAGAAAACGCCTTCTCTATTGTATTTAGAAATCATGTCGTATGTGTGTACGTTTCTATGTGCATTTATTGAATATTTAGGTAAAATAAGTTTTTTAATTAAATTATGTATGTGTAAGATCTCAAGAGAGACCCAGGAATGGATCAGAATTAGAGCATCTTCCACCCTGAGTAGGGAGTTCTCAATGGGATTCCTTTACTCTGGTAATGGCTTCCTGTCATTCAGCCAACTCTTTGGGTGGCCGAATACCTAGGGGTCAACCTTGATATCTCCTTTGACCTCCCTCCCAACATCTACACCACAGCCTGTGGACTCTACTTCCAAACACCCCTAGAACTGAGCTGCTTCTGGTGCCCCCCACCCCTGCCCACACTGCCAACCAGGACATCGTCACCTCTGGCCGGGATGATTACGGTGACCTCCTAACTGTTCTCTTGGAATCTACTCCATTCCCTCTCGGCCATTGTCCACAAAGCAGCTGAGCAAGCTTTAAACTGAAATCAGGACAGTAAATAAACTCATGCTGTCTTCTGGCTAAACTTCTTGCATGATGTTTTGTTGTACTTACCATGAAATCCACAGGAAGCCTGTCTAAACTACCCAGCCCTCGCCTGCCTCACTACCCTACCTCTGACCTCTCCGCCAATGCAGATCTGCTAAGGCTACACCTGCCTTCTGCCTTTCGCTCAGGGACGCCGAGGTGTGCCCGCCCAGGGTCCTGATGTACCCTGCCTGGACCCTCTGCCCCCACACCTGCCTGGCGGGCTCCTCCCAGGGACTCAGGTGTCAGCTCCGAGGCCTGCTTTTAGGGAGAGCTCACTGAACATCCTCGCCAGAGTAACTCGAATCCCACCCCTCTCCCACCGTCAGCTCGTTCCTGGGTCTCTTTCCTCATTAACACATCACCAGCTAAACTTAGCCAATGGACCCCTCGAGAATCTCCAGGCCTGTGCATCACTGGTCCTCAATATGTGGCAACGCCCGACATTCTGCTCAGCAGGGATCTGCTACTTCACAAATGGAAGACGCCTTCTCATTTTAGACCATACCTCTTCCTCCCCCCATCAGCTCCCTGCTCACTGAGATGACGGGAGTCATCACCCCACAGCCCAGGCTCAGGGCATCCACCTCCCCGCCTGCTTAGGACCGGGCATCGGCCCCTCTAGGGTGCCAGCTCAGGTGCCCCTCCAGCAGCTGCCTGCTCCCTGTGCCCCACCAGCCTCACTCAGTCTGTGCCCCAGTTCTCATCAGCACCCCTACTTTCATTACTATCATCTTTAAAAGTACAGCAAGTGTCACCAGTTGACAGGGACATCAGAGGAAAGCATTCTTGGGTGACTTCCTCACTGTGTCAACACTGTGGAATGTGCTTCCCAAGGACGGGTGGACAGGAGGTCCAAGAGGAGAAGGACAGACAGAGGACACTTGGAAAATATGGAGAACATCTGGAGATTGAAGGGGGATCCTCAAGGAGAGGGGGTGGAGACACTACAGGAAGTGCTGTTGCTCGCGTAAAACTCAGGAGCTAGGAATCAATACGCTCAGGAGAACGGGAACTTCTGTTATGATTCTAAAATTAGAACCTTTTGCCCAATAAAATTTTCATGAAGAAACATTGGCTGTTTAAACTGTCATTTCTGTCCGCCCCTCACCTTCAGCCACAGCCTGGGCCATCCGTCCATCTCCTCACAAAACAGACACATGTCTGGATCCTGGGTGCCCAAGTAGATGGGAACCCCTCGGCCCTGCTCGAAGGACTCAGGGTACTTGCATGGGAGAATGGTGACAGTGGCTGTAAAGACAAGCAGAGGACAGGCATCGGTTTCCTTTTGAAGTTTGGAAAAATGAACCGTTCTTACAGTTCTTCCTGACTGAGCAGCATTGGGTGCTTCCTGTGGGGCTGGAAGACCCACCAGGAGCTAGGAATCAATAAGCTTAGGTAATGGTGGTTGGCCACACCAGACCTACCATTGGTCCAACCACTGCATCCGTCCTTTGCCCGTCATTCACCACCCACTCATCCCATGTGGCAGTCCCTAACCTAGAAGCTGGAGCAAACAGAGACTCAGATGGCCAACCCTGCCCTTGAGATTGGGACACCTGCACTTGAACATCTGCAGATGGCCATCTCCTACCCCAGGCCACTCCTCTGATTCTCAGAGAGCTTTGTCCACTAGCAAGCTCTGTCTCAGGCGGTGCTGAAATTTGCCTTCCTATGGATGTCCCCACTTGGTCCCTTTAGGACACTTGAGGCCACACAGTACAAGGTACTCATCTTGCACAGGACAGATCAGCTACCTCAGATCCCTGAAGGTGGCTCTCCCAAGCCCTAGGGGCTCCGCACCCTGCTTTCTTTAGTCTAAAACAAACCTCTCTGGCTTTTCTTGCCAGACCGGTATGAAGTCCTGCCTCTTCCAGATGGGCCCACTGAAAGCCACACTTTTGGACACATACTAATTGTACATATTTATGGGGTGCCATATGACAACTCCATACATGTGCACAGTATGCAGTAGTGACGTGATCGGGTGATGAGTACATCCTTCCTCGGACATTTATCATTTCTTTGTGGTGACAGCAGTCGAGCCCTCTCCTCTGGCTCTTTCAGAACACGTCATTAAATACAGTCACCCTCCTGGGCTATGGGCCGTCTGTCCTCACACTTTGACAAAAGGCCATGGGGGTGAGGGGCAGGTCAGCACAGTGGACCACTCACCCGGAGTCACATTGCTGCTCCGTGGAACCATCACCAGGGTCTCTCCCTGAAGGATCCACACCTGCTGATCCCGATCAGACACCTCCCAAGTCTGAGGCCTAAGTGCTGCTGTTGGGAAGGGGGAAAATCAATGAAGGAACGTGAAAACAAAGGCTGCTTTCTTGACTCTAAGAGAAAGACCACCCAGTCTAGGCTTCCGTAAGGAGGACCAGGGGTTACACCCCAAAACAGGCCACACTCACGTGACTCACCTCCCAGCCTTGCCAGCAGAGCTGTGGGCTCTGGTGAGGAGAGCAGCCCCAGTACCTGGTGTCAAGACCTGGTCACTCTTGGTGGCTGTTGCTTGGTTGGCTGGGGCCAACCCAGCATTGATGAGCAGTGGTCCCCTGCCACCAGAATCCCCTGGCCCCAGTGGCAGGAATGGCCATATGGTAAGGGCCACACACAGGGAGGGACAGAAATGTTGGGGTGTCTGGAGGATACAGAGGTGATTGCTAGTGGTCTGGGCCTCGAGCACCCCATCCCAACTCACCTGTCCCATAAACTTGTCTCTCGGGGTCCATCATGGTGGTGTTGTATCAGCCCGGCCCTGCGGGGACAGTGACAGTGACCTCAGGAGACAACCGCAGGACCTCCCCAGGACACTGGTACCTCAGGTGCTCATTCTCCACTGGGAGCCGACTGCCTGACCTGAGATGGCGCTCTGGTCAGATTGGCCACCTTCTGGGACAAGAGTTCACAGCTGCCTCAGGGAGGGGAGCTGGCAGCATCTCCCTCCACCCAGCGCCCTGGCCAACAACCTTCCCTCCCTCCCGACATTCCAAGGCAGACATGACCCTTGACCTTGAACTCCCACAGGCCCTGATGCTGGTGTCTTCTCCTGGAGATCCTTCCTGCTCACTGGCTTCCATTTCTAGGGACAAGGGGAGCCCATTCCAGGGCAATTCTGCAGAGGTCCCAAACTCCCCAAGGAGAGGCAGTGAGCCCTGCCCAGGACAAGGCCCAGAGCCACCCTGACACATCCCATCCCTTCACTAACCCCCAACACAGAGGCTCTGGAGTTAGAGACCTTCCAGCTATGGGTGGCACCTGCGTAGAAGAGCCCTTACCAAAAGTCCAGGGCACCGGGTCATGGCTCGCGGAGCTTCCCACAGCAGTGACAGCCTCCTGCCAAGCCAGGGTCATCTGTTTGGATGAGCAGAGAGGGAGGCTCCGGTTCCTTTGGTGGGTGTGACAAATGTAAAGCATGAAAGAAATCCAGTTCCTCCTGCCAGAAGGTCAGAGAGGTCCAGTGAAGTCACACTCAGGACAGCAAGAGTGTGACTCGTCTGGACTCCCCGAGAAACAGACGCTGACCCCACGTGGCTGCCACAGGGAAGCAGAGACGATGACAGACCCCAGGTTTCCCAAAAAAGGGAAGCCTAAGGGACTTCCCTGGAGCTTAGCCCTCCTGCTGTGTTGATGTCAAGGGAGAAATGAGGCTGGACAGATAGAAAAATGGTCCCCAGGTGACCTCCTGAGCAGCACTGCACAGCCACTGCAGGCCTCTGCTGAGAAACTTGCAAGTTATTTTTAAATAGAGACACCCGTGACCTACAGTCCATAGGAAATCGGGACACACGTGACCCAGAGTCCCTGGCCTCTCCAAAGAAGGAAAAGTGCCTGATCAATACCTTGACTGGACAGGAGGCTGCCTGAAGGCCTCGTGGACACAGAGTGCCTTATCCAGGATGGGGCAGGGGGCTGGCTTCCCCAAACCTATGGATCCACGTAAGCTCTAGACAATAGCCATCCACTGGCAACCCTCCCGGGTCCCCTCCCAGCTACGGCAGCTATACTTGGGTTTGTTTTAATACATTGTTGGACTTGGCTTTCACCTTCTGCTGTCTGTGAATCTCAGTCTTTGAATACACAAGACAAAGGGTCCACCCAACTCTGTGCTCCAAGTTACCTGGTCACCCTGTGGGCAGGACTGGCATTACCAGGTCTCCATTTCCTGGCCCTGGGAGCCCGGCCCTCCACAACCAGGCTAGCCCCTTAGGTCCCAGAAGAGTCTCCTTGCCCAGCCTGTCCCACTAGTCATCCCACCTCTCCTCCCTGCCCATGGAGGAACACCACCTTTTCCTGATGAGGCCCGATCCTACCAGTTTGGTTGATCAATTACCATAGGAGAGCGTGATGATGAATTCAGACACACGCCTGTGTAAAGTCAGGCTTCAGCAATGTCACTCTCTTGAGTCCCCTCCACCCAGCTGAACATTCCCTCCATTAAGCCTCAGTCAACATATCCCCTTTCTTGGGGCACTCGCCACAGGACAGCAGCTTAAAGATCCCATCATCTGGCTTCCAAATCCCCCTGGGTCTCTGTTTCGTTGGGATCCAATCTGGAAGACAGAACCTGCACTTGGAATTGCAGACGAATGTAACTGAGTTCAAGGAATCGCATCGGCATACGTTGGAGGGCTAAAGGTAAAAAGGGCATGCTGTGGGATCCCAGATGTAAGGTCATGGGCCGGAGCAAAAGGACCCAGGAGCGTAAGTGAGTGCTCTTGTAGGATCAATACCTGGATCTCAGGGAGGAGGATCCTCTACCTCTGGTTCTCAGACCCCATGCAATCTGGTGGATGGCAGAGGGTGGGGGTCAACCAGGAGATGCTTGCAGGACCCAAAGGACACATTTTCATTGATTCAAAAGCCCGTGGGCATAATTTGAACTTTTCGTGCCCAGGTGAAGATTGCAAAAGCCCATATAGTCTGGTGACATATATATATATATATATATATATATCTCCTCCTGAGCCTCAGCCTCTTATTTCACATGACCCTCTCCTTTCAATAGCTTCCTAGCATTCAGGAAATATAGCTCTTCCCAGATTTCCCAGCCCTAGGCATCTGTTCTGAGGTTCCTAGTTTAAACTTTAGTGTGAATGAGTATAAGAGAAATTAAAGGGAATAGGAGTGAATGTTTCTGTTTTCTATTGCCATAACAAAAATGTTTGAGGGTGAGTACTTTATAAAGAAAAAAAATTAATTTAGCTCACATTTTTGGAAGCTGAAAGTCTAAGATGGCCCCATTGACTCAGCCTTTGGTGAAGGCCTCAGGTGAATGGTGTCAACAGTGGGAGAAGCTGTGAAAGCAATCGTGTACAAGACAGAAAGCCAAAATTGAGGGGGCCAGCCTTGCTTTTTTCTAACAACACTCACTGAAACAAACAGAGGGCCCCAGAACTATCAAATCCCTTGACCTAATTGGCCCACTGACCTAATTGGTTCCCTTTCGGCCCTCCCCCAAAGATCCCGACACCTCCCAAGATCACACACTGGGAACCAAACCCCCAGCACATCAATCTCTGAGGGGGGGAGGCGCACATGCAAACCTTACCCAAAGCACAGCACTGAGTGATGGTGATAAGAGGAGATATGAAACACGGAGGTTCATCATCCAAGAGCAGAGGGTCCATCTGCGGATGAGAAGGACCAGAACTTTTATCTCAGAATGGAGGGTGGACATCATGATTACCTGGTAGCCTGGCTTGACTTGAGAAGACTAGCAATATTGACACCAGCCATAAAAAGCAATCTAGTCACCAGACTCTGTTAATGTTGTGTTTCCGTGGAGAACAGTGACAGTGATGTACATCATTAACCTTGGCTTAAACTGAGTTCCAGAATGTATTCAGTAGGCCAAATTTCTTAGACACGGAAAAGATTTAAAAAAAAAAACATTTAGTCCAGATTCCAATTCTCAAGTCCTGTGATGCAATCAACCATGAGTGTTGGGTGATTAGCTCTGCTAACTTGCTCACTCCCCATGCTCATGAGCTTACTAAGTTGGGAAGACATCAAAGGAGGCAGGTAGGGTTAAGAGTTTCATCATTCACCACCGTGGGAATCTCTAGAATTTGCTAACAGATAGCCAGTCCACAGTGCCTTATTCATGTAACCAGGCTTACGATCAGAACTAATAAAACAGAGGGAATTGTGGAGCAGTGAAAGTTATGTGGCCTTCAAGAAGGTCAACTGCACAGAATCAAGTTAGTCTAGAACGCGACTCAGGATCTGTGACTCCCAGATCCAGACCTTGCTGCTGGGAGGCTCCAGTTCCCTGGGGGCTCCAAAGAGGCCCAGACCCTACAAGAGCTTCATAGGAGCAGGGCTGGCAGTGTGGTCTGGCGAAGACACCAGAAAGGAGCCAGAACTCGCCCCTGTTGAACTCGTGGGTTAACATGGCATGCGCCATGAGCCACGGAGACCAACGCAGATCCATTTGTACTCCCATGGACTTGAGGCAAAACCAAGGAAGTTCCTGGGGCAGCCTCTGCAGTGTAGCCCGTGCCCAGTGTTGATGCCTCGTGGTGACACGTTCAAAGGCTCTGCTCCTCCAGCAGCCCAAGCCGTGGCCTGAGACCTGCTTCCTGGTTGCTGGTCCCTCACGTCTTCCTGAAGCTGGTCTCTGTGCAAGCCCAGACTCTCTGAGCCAACGTGCTATTTAAGATCTTCTGTCTCCCTCATGTGAAAATAAAGGACAATGTAACAACCCCACAGCTACTCAACAAAACGGCAGCAGTCAACAGAATCATTGGAAGAATTAAGACAAAGAGCCACACCATCGAAAACCACCAGAGAGATGTATTGCTGTAAAAATCAAAACAGCTATTGACCAAATTGTCCACTTACCTACTGCAACAACAACAACAAAGATAAAGCAATAAAAAGCCTTAATTGGACAACACCTAAGAAAGAAATGCTAAGTTAAATGTCTACGGTTTGAAATTTCCAGACAAAGAGAACTTTTAGCCTTTGCCTAGTGGTTCACATCACTCAAAATGCCAAAGTCATGGAAGAAAAGATGGGAAATTGGGTGGCATAAAAATTTCAGAATTTTGGACAAAACACACCATGAAAGAAAATTTTAAAAACGAGTGACCCAGGGGGAAGTATTTGCACCACACCTAACAAGCAAATAATATCTAAAGCTTTGGGATGGTTCCTACCAATGGACAGGAAAATGCAAAATAGTTCTATAGAAAAACAAGCAAAAGATATAAAAAGCACTTACTGGATAGAAAATATACATGCCTGGAAAATCTAAGTAATTCTAATTAATCACACTAGTAATTGGCAATATGCAAATCAAAGCAATAAATGAGATTGGGTTTGCACCCATCAGGAAGACACAGATTCAGGGACAGCAGGCCATGGTGTGAGGAAACAGATTCCCGCACCAGAGCAATGGGCATCGGAAACTCTAGTGTCTTTTTTAGCACACATTTCAAAGCAGGTCTTGCTCTCCAAATGCCTACCGGCAATTCCCAATCAAGGCTTCTTAGCAATGATCTCTTCAAATTTTTGGCAGCCACCATCAATGCGAAACTGTTCACATGAGTGACTGGTTGGAAATAGTATTTATCATTTTTTTCCTGATGAACAGAGGCTTTCTTACAACGGATCTGGATGGCTTCATGTGTTTAAATTGAACTTCAAGGGTGCTGTTATTCTTTACCTATATGCCTTTTTCTAATTTTTTTTTTGAAGATTTTCACATCACACTTGGCTGCCATCGCAG